CGGGAGCGGTTGCGACAGGTCGGCTCTTTTGAATGCCGGCGGCTAGTGAATGTTTGCACTAGTGAAATATATAAGCATAGCCTTCCAGAGCTACCAAAAAGGCATTACGACAAATACTTCTTGATTTAAAGATTAGTTGGATAGTCGTAATTAACTTTTTTTTTGATCGAATTAGCCGGACTCAACCAGCGGCCTAAAGTTACTTCCTCGGCTGGTTGAAGACCCGAGTATAATGCTGTAAGCAGTTAAGTCCTCAGTGAAGGCAGGAAGATCTCTAGAATCTACCCAGAGAGAAGGCACAGGTAAAGGTTAAAAGAAGACGATAGAGCCCATCAAAACAACAATTGAAAACGAGATAAAGAGAATTCAGGAGCAACTATGTGCTCTTCGTAAGTGGAGTGCGAGTGATTGTCGTGACCCAAAAGATGAACAGGAACAAGCACCGAAGTTCAAAATTAACGGTAACGAGATAAAGTGAGTTATTTTCGGGTCTACTACAAGTCTGTAATTCATATCAATAACAGTATTTGTATATTAAATAATTTCAAATACTTAGTCTTGTTTCTGAAAAGAAAAAACAGGCCGGCAATCGGTTACCTCTCACAAAATGACAACACATCAGAAGGCAATTGTTATATTGACAGAACGGTTCAGAAATGATAAATTACACCATTAGACGGTTCATCTTTGTTTGAGGACAATTCCAAGCATGAGGAAGGATGCAAGCAATCTGAGAGCTAGAGTGAAAAAGGCAATCTAAGCATTGTAGCAGTAGAGGGGGTCTGAGGGTGTTATTGATACAAGTGCCATAACTACGCTATTACGGGGAAAGTCCTAAGACGTTGCTTTTGGAACAGCAAGAGCTGAATTAGAGAAGGAGGCGTAGAACGTTGTTGAATTGATGGAATTATTATATCAGATAACAGGAGTTGAAGAGCATGGAGTATAAAGGTGCCAAACGGGTGATGAAGAAAGGCATCAGGCAGAAGCCACGACGAGACCACTAAGATGACAGCCACTTTGTAAAGTGATTGTGAGGGCAAATGATTACGTCTACAAATTTGTTGCGTATCTTGCGTTGGCAGCCGCTCCAACAGTAACTGTGCTGTTTATCAAAAGCTGGTCCAAGCTGGTCCAAAGTTAAGGGAGAGTGTGAAGTACGGATTTGTATCAGATGTTTCAGGCTGGATTACTGGTTTGAAGATTGTAAGTTATTAAGGTGTATTAAAAACTGCAAGAAAAGTCAAAATACGGTGTTTTGTGATAGGTTTGGAGTGTCATCTGTTTACGCCAACAGTAGTGTAGCCACCAGGGATTTAAAAGAAAGAAGCTAGTGCAGAAGTTTCTACAGAAGCAGTTGAAAATATTAGAAGATAAAATGTGGGAGAAACAATATTGCCATTTGTAAACTTGAAAGTCGGTGAAATAGTTCAGAAAAGTTCAAGCTCGAGCGCACAGTTTTATATTCTATGATAGTGAGAAAGCCAAAGTTCTTTTATGATTAATAAATTGGTCAAATAATTTGATGTTTTATTGTCTCTTAACGAGAAATTAATGCTTTATACGTTTGCTGCATATGAGTCAACGTGATGCTTGTTACCTAAAGCGGCAATAAATGCATAATGTTCAGATTTTGAAAGTCAGCATCATTTTTTTTGAGTTAATTACGTAAAAGCTTCAATCGTTTTATAACAACTGATCACTTACTCTGTTGCCTCGTCCAGTAATAATCCTAAACAGGCAGTTCACCAAAGTTAGACTTTTTTATGACGCTTCAGCAAACTTGAGGAAGAATATCTCAGTTTTAAACAAGACATTATACAGAGCCTATAGCATTGCCTAAATTATTTGGT